TATGTGACTTATGCTTTCACCCTTGTGTCTTTGTATAATTTTGAGAAAATAATCTCTTAATTGTCCCTCTGTTGATGTTCTCTTGTTTTTGTTCTTAGTTGTTGTATTTGTTTACCTCTTTTGTGCTTCTATTGCCCACAGTGTTTGAAAAGCAAATAATATATTCAAAACTGATTTTATTTCTAGGAATGCTTTGAACACTTTTTTATTGGATATCCCTCTTTGTTCATTATGTTTAGGCTGAGACTTTTAGGGTATATCATCTTAGTTTGCATCTTGAACTCCTTTATTCTTTGGAATACATTATTCCATTCCCTCTTGTGATTTCTAGTGGCTACAGAGTAGTCTCGTATTATTCTAATTTTCTTTCCTTTATATTTGAGGGTCTTTCTCCTGATCACTTGCAGGATTTTTTGTTTATCATTATAATGGTTAAATTTAACCATGTGCCTTGGAATTTTCAGGATAGATTTGTTTTTGGTTTTGTTTTTTTCCTGGAAGTAACATGTAGATTCTTTTGATCGGCACTTTGTTTTCTTTGTTTAGTTGTATCTCTTGCATTGTGGTATTTGTGTTTTTTTTAACTTGTGTTCCTCTGAGAGACAACAAATTAAATCCTTAAATTTTCTCTATGCATCTTATCTTTGGGATTAATACCTCTTGCTTGTTTGGAGATCATGTTTTCTTTTAATGTTATTGGTTTTGGTTTTTGTTTTTGTTTATGCTTTCTCTTTTTCTAGATTGTCCTTTATTTCTGTGTAATAGTTGTATTCCTAATCAGTTATTCTTCTGTTTCTTTGGTAAGACTTGCCACAGTGGATTCAAGTTTTCCTATTTTGCCAATTATTTCCACTGTGCAGGCCATAAATTCTGTTTTCCCAATTATTATTTCTCCTTTAAATGATTTGGGAATACTCTTCTATGATCCATGCTTTCTTCAGAATCCACAAAGTCCTCTGCATCCTCAGGTGTTGATTCATTCTCTTTTGTCTTATAATATTTATTCAGATATGTCTAGACTCACTCAGCTGTTCTGGAGGTCATATTCTGTTCTTTTATTAGTATTTTCTCTTTTGGCTTATTTGCTTATGCTCTGGGTCTTTAACTGAGTGTTCTTCCTAAGATCTTGGGTAATTTTATTCTTTTTCCCTTGTATTAACCTATTGCTTACTTTCTGATTTCTTCCCCTTCAATCGTAGTTTCCCTGGGAGCTAGACCTTACAGCTGCCTCAGCTTCCTCCAACACTGGGCAATTCATGTTTTACAGGCCTCAACCTCTGCCCTGGGTGACTTCTAGGAAGACATAATCTGCCCCAGATGGATTCTAGGCCCTTCATAGCCCTGGTGGTTCCACACACACTCTGGTTTTCTGTTCTATTTCCTTTCATTCCTCAGTTCTCCGGATGAACACTGGTGTAGCACAGAGCATTCTTATGCTATAGTGCCAGTCAGAGTGAGATTCTGTTTTTTGATTTTCTGTGGCAGGAGGAGGAGGGGGTTGGAGAGAGTTGAACTCTGTTACAAGCCTGTGAGTTAGCTTGTGCAGCTTTGTTAAGGGATGATGAGTCATGGAGCAGGGATGAATGCAGAGGATTAAGGATTAGCCTTCTCTGATGTTAATTCATTGGGTTTTTTACCTCATTAGGGTTTTTGATGTCTTGGATTATATAATAGCTGAAATTGCATTATATTCTGTGCATATTACTATTGTAGTGAGATTTTAGAAATCATGAGGATTGAAGAAAGTATCTTGATTTTCATCTTGATGGTCATATGAGTAAGAAGACTAGAGCAACGTGATCTAATCAATCAAATCAGTAAATATGAGAGACAAAATCATCCCACTCTCTTCTGCCTTGGCAAGGCATCACCATCATCATCATCATCCTCATAGCATATAATGCATTAAGGTTTGCAAAATGTTTTTCACATAGTATCTCATTTGATCTTCACAACAACCTTGTGAGATAGGCTCCATTCTTAACTCCATCTATTATTAATCCCCATCTAATAGACAAAGAAACTGAGGCCTAGAGAGATCAAGTGACTTGTCTAAGATCACATGGTTATTAAGCATCTAAGGCCAGATTTGAACTCAGGTTTTCCCCAACTACAAGCCCAGCACTCTATCCACAGTGCTACCTACTTACCTTATCTGCAGTATTGTGTTAGAGTGATACCTTTTAGAGGAGACATTGGCAAGGTGGAATTTGTCTAGAGGAGGATGATCATCCTGGTGAGGTGTATTCAAGTCACCTAAAAAAATGGTTAAGAAACAGAGAATGTTTAGATTGAAGAAGGAAACACAAAAGGAAGGACATAGCCATAGTCTTCAATTATTTGATGAGTTAGGCCTATTTCAGCATCTTATTAAAAAATTCATTCTCCTATCTACTATCAAAAAAAAAAGAGCTTCCTCATGGAAAAGGGATTAGCCATATTTTGCTTAGTTCTCCACTCAGAAGAGAGAACTAAGACTAAGATGTGAAGCAGAGAGAGGCAAATTTCAGATGAATATAATGAAGAACTTTCTAGAAAATAGATCTATACCCAAATGGAATAGGCTTATTAGGGAGTAAGGTACACCTATGAATATGTTCACACAAAGACTAGATGAGTTTTGATAGGCATAATATAGTGAGGATTTCTGCAGAGAATAGATAACTCTGAGTTAATGCTAATTGATTGGTTAATAAATTCATTAAAAAAAACATTCATTAACTGCTTCTCATGTTCCAGGCACTAGGGATACAAATACAAGAAAATATTACAATCCCTGATCTCAAGGATCTTACATTCTAATAGAAGAAGACAATGCAAATTGGGGGAGGGGCCAAGGAGGAGTTGAAAGAAATGGTGATCGAAGTCATAGGACAGATGATTATCATGTCCTTTCTAGGAATCCAGGAATGGTAATGCTGATTTGGTCTCTATTCTGAGAGATAGAGTCAGAAAAACTATAGCTAACATTGATATAGCACTTCAAGGCTTACAAAGCATTTTACATTTTATCTCATTTGATCCTTATAATAACTCTGGGATGAAGGTACTATTATTACAATTTTATAGATTCAGAAACTGAGGTAGACAGAGGTATAGTGACTTGCCCAGGGTCACACAGCTAGTGAAATGTATGAGATAGGATTTGAATTCAGATCTATTGTACTTCAAATCCAGTGGTCTATCCACTACGTCACACAGCAGAATGTATGTGTGTGTGTGTGTGTGTGTGTGTGTGTGTGTGTTTGAAGGGCAAAGGAAAGGCATAACATGGAGGGTATGGTCCAGAGCAAGGTAAGATGAATGCCCACCAATCAGAAGCCAAGGGTAGTAGGAGCGGAAACCAATCTTAAGAACCTAATCAACCTATCCCAGTGCTAATATCTATGGAGGACACACAGAAATACACAACAGGGCCTAAGGACTTCAAAAACCCTACACTCTAGCTAAAGACACTGCACTAACCTACGCAAAGTAATTAAAGGATAGTCAAAGATAAAGCTGTGTTAAGTATAGCAGGCTCAAAGGGTAAAGGCAGTTTAATAAATCTTTGAGCGTAATTCCAGATTGCTCCCCAAAATGGTTGGACTGGTTCACAGTTCCACCAACAGTGGAATTAGCATCCCAACTAGCATCCTAATTTTTCCATATTCCCTCCAACATTTGTCACTTTCCTCCTCAACCATTTGAAATCATAGTAATAGCAATATTGTTTTAAAAACGACTTTGAAAGACTAAGTCGTTTTGACTATTGTAAATATCCAAATTAACTACAAAGGATATATGAAGGAAGACACTATCTACATCCAGAGAAAGAACTGATAAACAAAAGTATGTATAGAATGATTTCACATATATGTGTGTGTGTGTTTGTCTGTCTGTCTGTCTGTCTGTGTCTGTGTGTCTGTCTGATGGTAGCCATCCCTAGGGCGTGGGACAGAGGAGGAAAGAACAAAGAGAAAAAAGTTACATGATACCTTTGATATATATTTAAAAGGAATATCAAGTTGTACATAATAGATTTGCAACTGCATGTGCAATCATCTTTTTTCTATTCTATTATGTTATGAAAATGCTTATTTTATTTCTTAAGTTCAGAATAAAACTTTTTGAAAGTACAGTAGGAGTTCAGAGAATAGAGATATCAATCAGAGAAGACTTCAAAAACTACGTGGGACTTGAGCTAGTCTTTGGAGGAATTGTAGGATTAGGAAAAGTGGGGGAAGGAAAGAATGTTATTTCAGGTGGGAGGAATTATATGAGTAAAGTCACAGTGGGGGTGGGTGGGTGGGGTGAACAGAACATGTGTAGGGAAAAGTGAGAAAAGAAAATAACACTGACCCTGGGATACACAAGAAATTGTCCTGTGTGGCTAATTGTGGTGACTTCTGGTTACAAGGAGGATTTCTGGGCCAGCGCTCAGTAAAGCTGTGATTTAGGAAGGAGGAGCAGAGAATTATGAGATGAAGAGGTGTAAAGAGTCTTAGAAATCACCTAATTCAGTTCTCCTTTTTTTACATAATAAGAGGCAGCCTGGTTTAGGGAAAGAACACTGACTCTGGAGTCAGAGGTCCAAGTTCAGATCTCATTTCTGATGCTTACTACCTCTATGATCTTGAGCAAGTTACCTAATCTCTAGGTAGCTCAGTTCCATCATGCAGAAAAGGAGGGAGGTTGGACTAGACAGCCTTTGAAGTCTGTTCTGGCTCCAGGTCTATGATTCCATGACACTAAAGGGACTTAGGAAGTGACTTACTCAAGGTCACTCAGGTGACTAGCAAATTTATGATTTTACCCCAGGTCTTCTGACTCTAAAACCCATGTTATTTCCCTGAGAAAAGTACTTATCTCTCCTGCACCAAGGAAATGATTGGTCCCTAAGTTACAGAAAAGACCTGAGCTCATTTAGTTGTAAAATTTTTTATATTTATGTGAATTCTTTTGGTGGGAAGTCTTCCAACTCTGTTCCTTCCTTTCCCTTCAGAATTGAAGGTCACTCAATGAAGAGACATAACCACACAGAGGTGAGTGATTTTTTTTTTCAAGGATTCTCCAGTTTCCAGGAGCATCAGATCACACTCTTTGTAATCTTCCTGGCTCTATACATTTTTACCTTGGCTGGCAACGTCATCATTGTGATAATCATCCAAATTGACCGTCACCTCCACACACCTATGTACTTCTTCCTGAGCATGCTCTCCATTTCTGAGACCTTATACTCATTGGTCATTATCCCACGGATGCTATCCAGCCTTGTGTGCAGGAATAAGTCCATTTCCCTGGCAGGCTGTGCTACCCAAATGTTCTTTTTTGTCACCTTTGGCATCAATAACTGTTTCCTGCTCACAGCAATGGGATATGATCGCTATGTGGCCATCTGCAACCCACTGAGGTATACAATCATCATGAACAGTAAGGTGTGTGCCCTGCTGGTATGGGGGGCATTTAGCGTTGGTCTGATTGTAGCAATGACACAGGTGACATCAGTGTTCAGGTTGCCCTTCTGTGGTGTAGAAGTGGCCCACTTCTTCTGTGATATCCGTCCTGTGATGAAACTCTCCTGCATTGACACCACCATCAATGAGATCTTAACTCTAATAATCAGTGTCTTGGTGCTTCTGGTACCTATGGGCTTGGTCTTCATCTCCTATGTCCTCATCATCTCCACCATTCTTAAAATTGCCTCTGCTGAGGGTCGGCAAAAGGCCTTTGCCACATGTGCCTCTCACCTCACCGTGGTCATTGTCCATTATGGCTGTGCTGCCATCGCCTATCTAAAGCCCAAGTCAGAGAACACCAGAGACCAGGACCAACTGATTTCAGTGACCTATACCGTCATCACCCCACTGCTGAACCCCGTTGTGTATAGCCTGAGGAACAAAGAGGTCAAGGATGCTTTGCTTCGAGCTGTTGGTAAAAAACATCCCTAATTTTGACTGCCATTATCATGAACCACTTGCCCATCACACTAGATGGGTAAAAAGCAAGAGAAATACTTAACTGTCACTATTCATATTTAGGTTCTTGAAGCCATACTCCAACAGCAAAAGGATATTTGTTGAAAGAAAAAACAGAGATTCAATCTCAGTGATTGTGCATATGCAGAAACAAAAACATGAGCGTACACGGGCGTGGAAATAAGGCTAAGAAATGATGCAGGAATGTGATCTTTACAAATACCCCTCAGGTTTCTTTGTGAGTGACTCTAATGGTTTAGAAAATCTTAAGGGAGGGGTTCTTTATACACTTTAACCTTTCTTCCCACTTCCCTTCAGCTGTGGAAGGATGTTTGGGAAGGGGACCATAGAGCTTATTAGCTCCAAGTGTTCTATCCTCTGAGAGAAGTCCAATGAAACCTTCTCCAACATTTCTTGGCATGAAATATAAGAGGAAAATATTTCCTCTTCATATTGGCCCTCCTCTAACCTAGAATTACCTATATCTTCAGAGATGCCAGCTCACCCTGGTCAAGTGGTTATAAAAGTGAACTAATACAGTGGAAACTAAGGTCTTATCCTAGAGGGAGGCTGGGATCCAGAATTAGGGTGATTTGTGGGAGAAATTAATGAACAGAGAGAAGGGTTTGGGTGTGTTGGGGGGGTTTTCAAAGGAAGTTGAATCAAAGAATAAGAGAGAAAGGGAGCAAAGGAAGGAAATATTGTAAAGCTTTGAGAGAGAGGTGATAATGATCATGGGATGGGAAGATAGGAAACACAATTACTTTACAACATCTTGATGAACTAATCCTCCAACCGTCTGGTGACATGATATTAGAAAGTCTTCAACCCCAATTGAAGGAGAAATATAATATAACCAACTGTGCCAGGATACGATAAAGAAGGCAGTTTCATCCACTTCTGTAACAACTGCTAGTTGTCCTTAGATAAAACACCCTACAGTTTTGTCTAAAAAGTCTTCTTTTGCAATTGTAAAAGTATCTGAACATTTTCCCTTGTCCCCTATCCTTGGATAGAAAATATTTTCTTATAATAAATTTTGCCAGTTGCATTCCAAATACTTTCTTTTTCTCTATTGGCTGATCTCTCTCTCTCTCTCTCTCTCTCTCTCTCTCTCTCTCTCTCTCTCTCCCCCACACACAGACACAAAGACACACACACACACCACACACACACCACACACACAGATACACACCCTCTCAATCCATTCTTCCTTTGTGGAATGCTTTACTTATCTATCCGAAGCTGCTACAGAATGCTGCTGATTGGCTGTGTACTCTAAGTGGGCCTGAAATGTCATAAAAATCAAACATGTACCCTAGGAAAATGAAGCTGCTATTCAGAAAGAGTAATATTCCATAACACGGTAATAAGCTTCTTTGCTTATATTTTGGCTTCCAATCTGACCCACAGACATCAGACTCCCTCTGACAGTTACACCTCTACCAAGCGTTACCATTTCTCCCAGTTGAAAGAATTCTCCAACAGCCAGCATGAGGGACAAACACGTTCCCAGTGAGGGCAATAGTCCAAGTAATTTGAAGTTTGTTCCATCCCTTGGGAGGAATTACTCAAAATAATTTATCATTATTACCCTAACATTTGTTACCCAAATTTCCCACCATGCCTGTCTGAATAGAAGAGGGATTCAATCTCACATCCAGAGTATTTAGTCCTTTATCTCCATTCAATTCTGCCTACCAGGACACGTTCCCAGAAAACTTGTTTATAGCGTTCATTTCTACTGAGGCATACATGCAGATATTCCCAATACAAAGGATAGGGCCTTACCAAACCCACCCTATCTGGTCCCAATCTTAAGATGATCTTGACCCCCATACCCACAAACTATGCTTTCCTTTGGACTTCATGAGCTCAGTGATGCAATGCAGCCCAGTTCAACAATCATTTACTAAATGCCTGCTGTGTGCAGAGGCCTGAGTTAGGCACTAGGGGAGATACAAAGATCAGAAAAGACATAGCCCTTCATGGAGCTTGAATTCTAGCATGGAAATGCTGGAGTGCCAACCCAGATAAAACTAAACAAGGCGTCAACTTTAAGGGCTTTTTTTTAAAAAATAGGTTAAATCTTTCATTTGAATACATGCAGCAAAGATGAAGACCTTGTCAGAGTCTGTGGAGGCACAAAGTGAAGGTCTCTCATGACTTCTCCAGATTCAGCATTTAACATCATGTAGGCTTTAGCAACATTCGAGATGATTTAGAGAATATGAATTTCAGCCTACTCAGGTTCACAGAAGACTCAGGGGAAAATCATTTTAAGCCTCTAAATGTTGATCTTTATTCTTATGATTGAAAAGATGCTAACAGTACCATCAGCCCTATCAACCTCACAAACATTGAATGTTAGGTTCCACTGCACCAAGTGTGTATTGGAGGGAAGGGTGAGTGGGAAAGGGTCACTGACACTGCTGCCTCCTTTAATCAAGTTGCCAAAGAACTGAGCTTGTGTAAAAAAGATAAATATTCTAAGTGATCAAAACTGAATGGGTGGGGAATGAGTAGCTCTGGAAACACAGACAGGCAAAAAAGAAAAAAGGAAAGTCAGTAGGAAAGGCTGATAGGAAGGAAACATACATTAATTAAGTGTCTACTATGTGCTAGGCACTATGCTTAAGTGCTTTATAAATATCATCCCATTTGATCTACTATGAGGTAGGTGCTATAATTATCCTCACTTTACAGGTGAGGAAGCTGAAGCAGATGGAAGATAAGTAACTTGCCTAGAGTCACATGGCTAGTACATGAATGGGGCCAAATTTGAATTCAGGTCTTCCTGACCGCAGATCCAGCAGTCTCTCCACTGCACCACCTGGCTGCCTCAACATTCCAGTCAATGGACAGAGAGATGTGGGCTTTATGGGAACATGGACTCCAGAACATAGAGGTCAAGTCAAGGAGGGCTACCATTTAAATTAATATGAGTGAAGCTCCCAAGAATGCACATGCCGTGTATGGATGAACTTATGCTGACAGTTCACTGCTAAGAGTCAAATGACTCTGCCTGTCATCGGGAAGCGGCCAATCTATAAGTCTGGGAATTATACCTGTAATGAGTCTTTTGAAATGAAAGGGGTTAATTATAATAGTTCAATTCAACAAACTATAAGTACTCATTTATTATGTGACAGGCACTGAAGGCACGCAGATAAAAGCTAAATAGTCCTTGCTTGCAGGGAATTTAGAGCCTGGTAAGTGATAAAAATAGTACAGAGACAAGAATGCTATAGAATAAAATGTGATAGTGCCAAAGAAGATTCATGAAAAGCAGCACGAGAAATTTGAGTTAGGAGAGCTTACTTTCACCTGCTGGCCTGGGGACGACTTCACAGAGGAGGTAACTTTTGAGTGGGACATTGAAGGATGTCAGTAGATGGAAATATTGGAGAGAAGCATATATTCAAAGTTGGGGAGTCAGTGGGAACAAAGGCATAAATATAGGAGAAGGTAGGATGAGAAAGGAAAAGTGAAAGCAGTTCTTTTTGTCTGGAAGGTAAGATATGTCAAGAAAGTAGAGCAATGGGGCTAGGCAAGGTGGAAGTCCTTGAATGATAGGTGAAGGAATTTAGCCCCTAGCCTTTATTGAGTTGGAAAAGGAAAAAAAAAGACTAGTGCTGGTTTTCGCTACATCTGAGAAAAGGAGAATTGGAGTATAAGAAAGTGTTTCTCTAGTATAATCCAAATGCCAGAGATGTTGGGCACATGTATTTGATCACTAAAAAGATAGACTAGACGGAATTCTACAGGGAGAAACAACATTGTATTGCAAAAAAGAGCACTGGAATTAGAATAAAAAATACATAAATATTAGAGTCAGAAGACCTGAATTTTTTTTTTCACTGGCCATATGATCACAAGTAAGTCATTTAATTAGACTCAGTTTCCTCACCCATAAAATGGAGGTCCTAATGCTTGTACTTTGCATCTCATAAGTAAAGCTGGGTACAGCCACCACCATCTCCAGGAGTTAGAGATGGCCATGCCTACTTCCCAATCCTCAACTGCCACTGCCTCCTTGACTATCTCAGTCCCGAAGCAAGAATGCTAGCCAGCAAGAGTAGCATAAATGTGTGTGTGTATGTATATGCATATATATAATCTTATGATAAACATATGATTTATTTTAAAAATATTAATTATATAATCACATGAGGGATAGTAATCATACATTCCTTATCTAATTATATATTATAAGGATATATGATGTTGATTATATCATTTAAACATTATATATTATATCAAATATGCAATATATTAATAGTTATATAATATAACTTATGTGAGATATATGTGACATGAGATACATACAAATATATTTACATGTTTTGTAATATATGACATTTCATATATTATATACTAGGAATGATATACCATGTAATGCATTTTATATGTTATGTATTATAGAGTATATGCTGTGAGTAGTGTATATTGTATATATTTTATAGTGATATCTAATTTATTATATCACATATAATATGTAAGATACTATTGTGGCATAAATGATATTTCATTGCATAGTGCATTCACTATAT